CTCCTAATCCACCGCCTCCGCCTCCTCCCAATCCTCCGCCTCCTCCTAATCCACCGCCTCCTCCAAATCCACCTCCAAATCCGCCTCCTCCACCATAACGGCCGTACGCCATCCTCTTAACCCTAACCAGATCATCGGAATCACCCTTAACTTCGAACCTCGTCAAAACCTGCAATTAAAACACAAGAAATTAATTTAAAAATCCACAATACGCACCTATATCCAAATACCTCATCCTCAACCCTTTCTGCCGTGGATAAAACCACCAAACACGCCGCAACAGCGACTGCTACCACAAAAGAACGCATCTTACCGTTCTCTGGCTACCGCATCACTTCGCATCTCCTTTTATACTATTCCTCAGAAGAACGGAACTGACGAATCACACAATTAAATTGGCACTAAAAAAAAAATTTAACAAATCCAAAACAGTATTACGTAACGCCCGCGGCGTATGGTGAATCTGAAGGTGAGATTTTTGAATCAGCGTTGCGATCATAAAAATTAATATATTTTTAATCGAATTATAATATGCACGTACCTTTTTAGACCTATCCAATGGTAATTCCCCAGATTACGCTAACATTTGCCACTGCGTTTTTGCATCAGACGGACGTATTTCATGCTTTGTGCGAATATCAATTTCGTCAATTTATATATTAATATAATTTCCAAAAGTGAACTTTTGCATAGTTGGGAGTTCTTATGTGTGTTTTGATCTTTGTTTTAAATTATGCAGTTGTTTAACTTGTTTTAAAACAAGATGATTTTTTTATATAATTTGATCTCAATTCAATGATTTCTCGAAGTGTAGGTCTTCTTTAAAATGTACAAACAGCTTTGATTATCCATGTGTCATTAATTTATTTTTATTCGAATTTATTTATATTTATTTCATTTGAATTATTTATAATGTTATACATGTTTTTATTTTAACGTATTACGTATTTAAAATACTATTAATTTAAATAACTGATATAGTAAACATATTGAAATGATGTATTTTGTATAATATTATCAAATTTATTGAAAACTATACAATTTATACTAATTTCAATTAATTAAATTTATAAAATTATGATTTTTTTAAGTAGGTTTTGGATGTTTAATAAAATGTACTATGATTCATAGTTTCAATTCTGATTTTTTTTATTAATTAATACGTAATTACAAAATTATAAAATCTTGGATCGTTTGAAGACTGTGTGTGAAAGTGATTGATTAACGTCCGCTGAAAAAGAGAATTTGTCAATAGAATAAAGTAAGGTAGAAATTGGTAATTATAATCTTACTAGCCGCCTTTTCCGAAAGAACCCGAAGATGCTGAGGCTTTGCTCCAGGAACCGGATCCGCCGCCTCCTTTGCCGCCACCTCCCCAACCTCCTGGTCCGCCGCCACCGCCTCCTCCTCCTTGATGGCCACCACCACCGCCACCTCCTGGGTATCCTCCGCCACCACCTCCTGGATATCCACCGCCGCCTCCTCCTTGGTGTCCTCCTCCACCGCCGCCTAATCCTCCTCCGCCTCCTAATCCACCGCCACCTCCGCCTCCTAATCCGCCCCGCCACCTGGATATCCTCCGCCACCTCCTCCTTGGATGTCCTCCCCGCCACCTCCTGGGTATCCTCCGCCACCACCGCCTGGATATCCTCCTCCAGCGCCACCCAATCCTCCGCCTCCTCCTAATCCACCGCCACCTCCTTTGCCAAATCCTCCGCCGCCGCCGCCTCCGAATCCACCGCCTCCTCCGAATCCGCCACCACCACCGCCTCCTTTGCCTCCGTATCCACCATACGCGGACCTCTTATCCCTGACCTCCTTCTCGCCCTTGGCTCCATCTTCCGAAAACTGCAAAAAAAAAAGAACCCGTTAGTCCCGTGCATCCAATGCACCAACAACAAATACATTTTCCGGAAGCTTTTGATCGGCCAACGATGGCGGGAAGAACAGGAGAGCTACGGGTCTGCCGGCTACTTTGCTATCGTTATTTTCCGAAATGCCGTTGTCGATGCCTTCGCTCAGCTCCTCGTTCCTCCTTCCCATCAGATCAACCAAATACACTACACCTACCCTTTGGCTATCGACCGCGGCCACGAAGACCGCTACTGCTGCAAACACCACCACAGCGGAACGCATCTTGGTGTTCTCTGTCTGCTCCAACAAATCGCATCAGCTTTTATAGCATTTTTCAGCACATGCAGAATAATTTGCAAAAGCAATAATTGAAAATAAAAGTAAATCCAAAACGGTGGTTATTACATAATTCGCGACGGCGCATGGCGACTTTTGAAGGTGAGGTAATTCGAATCGGTGCAACGGGATATGCCAATGAGAAAAGGAGAGGAAACACAAAAATATAACAGAAAAAAATAAATAAAAGAACGTATTTCCAGTTAATAACTGATCGTAATTAATTGAGGTTTCTTTGAATTTCAATTGATATCCAAACTCATTGTTGAGGTGCCGCCAAGGTTTCCTTTAAATTTCAGCTGGTATAGAAAGAGCGCACGAGTGTTCCATCTCATCTAGTCAATAACAACCTTTTGTTTTATGTATACTTTTCTCTCTCTCTCTCGTCAATTAATATTCGACACAAAAGGATTTGCAGACTGCAATCATATGTTAATACTAAAAATAATTATTAGTAAAAACCTTAATGGAATTCGTGCGGTGAGCAGACAATAGACAAAACCAAATCGTATCGTTTTACGATGAAGTAATTTCAAATACTAATTAACTATAACTTTATACCTGGTTTACTTGGAACATACAAATTACATTTATCAAATTTTTCATTTAGATTCATTAGATTAATTTCATCTATATTTAAAATTTAAATAAATCTCACGTAATGTCTTAATCCATTTAGAAACTAAACTTTTCTAATGAAATTGGAGCAAAATACGTTATTGAAATAGTTCATAAAAGAACAAAAACATAATTCTTATAAGATTTGACTTAATTTACAGAATGTTTACTTATGTTTCAAAACAAAATAGAAAAGAACTGTTGATTTTATTTTTTGAACATGATTTTGTCTACGTCAACTAAAAACCTACTGTGGAAACTACGTGGCTTCTTCATTGTATTACAGTATAAATAAATAACAGTACATGCAAAATGTCTGGTTATTTCCTAAATAAATAAAAATAGTTACATAAGCAATTAACAATCCACTTCAACAAAAACCAATGGTTTTTCCATTTCACTATTATAAATCAGGATATGAAAATGTTCTAAAAATATGTTCAACTAATTAATGAACACTAATTTATATACGAAATATTGCAGAACGCTTCTAATTAGATCATTTTCGTGGATGTAAATATACAAAAAACCAAATGAATTTCTTTAGAAATTATGCAGTGAAATGTATTAATTATAGATTTTAAATTGTTTTTAAACCACGATTGAATTGCAAGAATATATTTTCAATTTCCTTTGAAGAAGTTATTTGGAAATAGTGAAATTCATCTTCCTTTAGTATTTATCAAATCTCAAATTAGAGTATGTTATTATAATTGTAATTTAGGAAATTATTTGATTTTTAAGACTATCATTGAAAAGCAACAAAACTTTATGTTAGATGTTCATTGATTTCCTTCAGCTCTTTGAAAATTGTAAAGATCACAAATAGTTTACTTGAATTCTATTCAGTTTGCAAAAGGTGTAGGTCAAAACGCCAAACGATGACTAATTTGTATTAATCATCTTCAACATGTTTTTGTTGTTGTTACAAGATGCAAATTATTTATATTCAGTTTTCTTTCCGTCTTATTGATAGTTTTTAATTATAACAATTATTGTTTTGTTACAAACGAGAATTGGTTTGTTAGAAACGAAACGCTGGATCCGCCGGAGGCTTCGAAACTTAGTACATCCCATAATCTGGGTTTTTCACGGCCAATTATCGCCGCAGTCCGCGCTCACCGAAAAACAATATTAGCATTCAGCGAAGATCATTTGCTTGATGAGAAACGGTAATTGTGTTTGCACAATTAACACGTGCATATATTCTGATTAATTCGCACAGTTGAAAGTAATAAGGAAGAGGAGGTCGAACATCGAAGAAATTATGCAACAAGAACAATAATAACAAACAAACAAAATATCCGTTCTCTTGTACGGTGATGGGCAAAACCTTGAAACGTTTCCCTGAACTCCAATTAACATTTCGCTTTTGTTAACAACAAAATATTATTTATATTTTAATTTATTTGTATATATATAAAAAAAATGAAACATAATATTGAACGCAAACAAACATAGTTTAAAACACAAAAAAAAAAGTTAAAAAAATAATAGTAACATAAGTACTCGGAATGGTTAATTATATAATAATTTTATGAAAATATAATATCGTTGCAGTGGATGATGATGATAACATCAGGCCGGATTCACTTGATATTGAGGAACAGAGTTATAGGACAGTGGTCTGACCCGTAGATCGTGTTCCTGATCACGTTGTCACACACAGAGTTCGCCAGACGTTCCGAAATAAGGAAGTAATCGAGTCTCCTATAAACAGAAAACATATTAATGATTTGTATAAAAAAAACATTCACTTTGTTGCTCATCGCAGATGAAAATTTTGAATAAAAACTAGTTTAATGAAGTTATGATAAAAGATACAGTAAAGATTTCATGGAATTAATCTGCTTTTGTGATTTGATACATTTTCGAATCGACGTTATTAAAAGATTGCGAATCATATTTGTCTCCGGTTTTTTTTTTCTCTCGCGTGAATTAAAATGAATAAAATTGTGCACGTACGTATTGTCTTTTTTTAATTTATGCAATAAATGATGTAATTATTTAAGATTCCTGGTACTCTTCATATTTTGTAATTTGAATTGATGGTTTTACGTGACCAATTTTACTACCATAAATCTTCTATATTTACAATGTGACTGACGCGATTGAATAATTTACAATTATTATTTATTCCAGGTATGGTGCTTCGTAAAAACGAATTACAAATCTTGATTACAGTGGAACCTCGCTTAACGAGTTTAATCCGTTCCAAAATTTCAGGATTTTTAGTCGTATAGTGAAACATATTAAAAAATACACATAATATGTGTACACAAGTTTTAAAAATGATCTCTTCTCATCGTCACTCGTTATGTGAAATGTTGCTCGTTAAGCGAGGTTCCACTGTATTTAGAAAAGAAGACACAAGTAGTTTTCACGAATTCCATCTCTTAAAATACGTGCATTATTCAACATTACTCTTATAGAAAATGAGTAATGCACAGCTGAAAATATTTTATCAAATTATAACAATTACGTTTAATTTAAATAAACGTTACTGAATAAAATAGTAACTTACCATCCTACATTCTTACTCCTCGCGTTATTCATATACGACCAGAAAGTGTACATATTTTCTTTGTCCGGATACAACTTCCGGTATGTGTCTACAAATCCGCAGTCGAGGAAATCAGACATACCATCCCTCTCCTCCTGCGTGAAGCCGGCATTCCTCTTGTTCGTCTTCGGATTGCTCAAGTCGATTTCGGAGTGGGCAACGTTCATGTCTCCGCAAATAATCACAGGCTTGATTTTATCTAAATCCTGCACGAACTTCATGAACAGATCGTTCCATTCCAAGCGTTTGGACAACGTGACCAACTTTCGACCGGCATTCGGAACGTACACGGAAATAACGAAGAACTTCTTGAACTCGGCCGTGATGCATCTACCTTCCTCGTCGTGATCTTCGTTACCAATACCATACTTCACATCTATAGGCATCACCTTCGAGAAGAGGGCCACGCCCGCATAACCGTCCTTCTTACTCGACGCCCAGTACTTCTTGTAACCGTCCACCGTGGTTATTTCCTCTGGAAGTTTCTCTTGGCTGCACTTGGTTTCCTGCAAACACAGGACGTCCGCGTTCTCGGCTTGAATGTACGTCAATCCGGACTTCTTCAGCCAAGCCCTCAGACCATCAACGTTCCAACTAGATACGACGTAGTTAGCTTCATCGCCATCCTTGCTCGTTTTCGTACACGAGAATTCTATATTCGAGTAATCCGTATCGGTTTTGTTCATCAACGTCGGCTTCGGCTTCGTCTTTTCCACCTCATCTTCCTTCTTTCTGCCTCTTTTTGGTTTCGAAACTGAAATACTTCAATCAAAAACTATGCTCATTCATATTAAAAAAAAACTATTAACCTGCAGATTCATCTGAATCGCTCGCTTCTTTCAGATTCGTTTGCTTGCCTCTACCTCTCTTTGTACCAGGTTTCTCCTTTTCAACTTCCTCTAAAATAACGAAAACATACATTAAATTACTTCAGCAATAATTCAATTGAGTCAAAATAATTACCATCTTCTTCTTGATCACCCACCACCTCTGTCACTTTTTGTTTCTTCTGTCTTCCTCTACCTTTTTTCGGTTTCTCTTCTACCTTAACGTCATCTACAATAAATATAACATTTTCATCAAAAAATTAAAATACGCGTAATTTAATCCAACTACCTTCAACTGTCTCGGGTTGATCTAATTCTTGGTCATCTTCAACGTCGGCTTGTATCTGTTTCTTCTGCCTACCTCTACCTTTTTTTGGTTTCTCTTCCACTTTATCATCTGCAATAAATATAATTCATCAGAAAACTTATATATACATATATTTATAGTACAACTACTTTCTACTATCTCGGCCCCATCCATCTCTATGTCATCTTCAACGTCGGTTTGTTTCTGCTTCTTCTGTCTACCTCTGCCCTTTTTAGGCTTTTCTTCTACATCATTTTCTAAAAAATAAAATGCATTAAATTTATATAAAATTGGATATCCAGCAAATTACTTTCAACGCTCTTTTCCACATCATCCATTTCCTGGTCTTCCTCAACGTCTGCTTCTGTTTGTTTCTTTTGTCTTCCTCTACCTTTTTTAGGCTTCTCTTCATCTAAAGTAAAAATAACATTTCATGAGATATATGTAACAAGATCGCTTGGATGCTATACCTTCAACTATCTTTTGAACAGGTTGCTTCTTTTGGCGCCCTTTTGTCTTTTTTGGTTCACTGACAATCTCATTTTCTTCAGCATCTAAATCAAATGTAATTAATTAATGTTATCAAATGGTAACATATAATTACCATCTTCTTCTGGAAGAATCTGTTTCTTGGCCCTGCCTTTAGTTTTCTTTGGTTCAACTTCCTCAGTGTCTGCAAATAAAAAAGAAATACTTTTAATATAGCATTTACAATATTGATGTTAAAAGTTATTTCTTAATTGGTTCATAAATGTATACCTTCATCATTTTCAATCACTTTCTCCTTTTTTGCCCTCCCCTTGGGTTTCTTGGGCTCAGGTTTCTGTGCATCACCATTCACTAGAATTATATTAAAATTAAAAACATTTACAAACACAAGGTGCCAATATTTTCACATACCTTCTTCTTCCATCTTCTTAGCCTGCCGACCTCTACCAGTTTTCTTTGTTGGCTCAATGTCACCATTTCCAAGCTCCTCAACAGGTTCCTTCTTTTGGCCTCTCTTGCTTTTAGGTGCCTCTGATTTAACTTCATCATCAACCTAAAATTTATAACAATGATTAGATGTCATTGGACATACGAGTTTTTGCAAAACCGATGCGAAACTTTCGATGTCTCTGTGTCAACATTGATACTCTTCGCGATGTTCTTCCACAACCAAACGTCTTCATACAGATTGACCACAAATTTTAACCCGTCTCATTTCTAATTAGCAGTTGAATGGATCCCGTAACGACATAATTTTTATACAATTGCCGTCTGCGTAGCCTACCTCTTTTGGAATCCCGTTAAGGGGTAATAAGACTTGATAAACAAACGTAGAAGATCTTCAAATAGTATTTGCTATTTGACGCATACTTTGGTCCTCATTTCGTAGTTTTATTACTAATTCTCGTTCTTCCACGCTCGACCAAATTGAAAATTCGCCGGGGAAATCCCAAAATGTATGTATTCAACTGCAGCGTAGCCAACTACATTTTTTGCGTTAACCATGCCATATTATTCTCTCATAAAAATATTTTGCATAAAAGTTGTACATTTATAATAGTATTGAATGTCAACGAGTGTTCTTATTTTTTGTCCCACACTGCATGAAGCGTAAACAATCGTTAGAAACTATATAAACATTTGAAAAATGCAATCTTTCAGGTTATGAAAAATAGTTTGCTCATTTAAATTTGTGTGAAAGTTTACCTTAGGCTCCGCGGCTTTCCTCTTTGGAGGCATATTGAAGATGCTAATGCTACCGGCGTTCCCTTTTGAAATCCAATTCACTTTTCCTTCTGCAAAAGCGAAACGTTGCTTAGAACGACAATAATACAATGAAGAAGCGAACCGGCGAAGAAATGCCGCCATAAACTGGTAACTTCAGTTGCCAACATAATGTTGCGCACCAACCGAAGAAAAAGCAATATTCAAATTGAAAATTACCTACAGTTTGTATTTTCAAATCTTTCACCCATCTTTGGACCCAGTTTGCAGGAAGCGCTCAGCCAAACGCTTAATTGTTCGATCACATGGAACATGACGACAGGGAAAACGACGACGAAATTCACGTTGCGTTAAAACAACAGACTGAAAATTTGTCAAATAAGAAGTAACAATAAATCCACGCTCTTGGGGTGTATATCGCTCCATGGCTTGTTTACAACTAATTCACTATATATCTACTTCATAAATGTCAGAGCACAGGGACATTTGGCCGCATCTGCAAAAATGGTAGCTAATTCAAATTATGACATTACTTTTGCGCCACCTTGTACTTCTTTAATAATACCTTGTCCAGAATAAAGACAATTAATCTAATTAATTGATACATATGTAATAAACGTATTAATTTAGTTGTTTTACCTCAGAAAATACATGTTAATTACTTTGAAATCTATCAAACTAACGCACGTTATACCTTTTTGATTTTTAAAGAAAATTGATTGTATAATCAACTATGAAATATCAACAATTCTTATTTATATTTCAATGTTATTGAAATTATTAACATCATACTTTAATTAATAATTTAACAAATTGGTTTTACTAAAAATTTATTTTCGTGTGAAACTCTTCGAAGCATGGATAAATGCATAGCGCGACGTTACAAGGAACGCACATGTATTTGGTGTCTTTCCTCCTTTGGGTCCTTTTTACTGTGTGACTACAAACTAAGCATTTCCGCTGCGTCCTCGATCCTTGAGCCACGGTCTGCGGCACCGGCGCAGGAAAATGCCTTTCCGTCAACCTTATCACGTTATCCTTAAAATTCTTCGCGTTAGGAGATCTCTGTTTTCTTTGCTCTACAAAGAAAATGAATTAACAAAAGTTTTAACAAATTTATTAGATCTCACCTGTTTTTACTTCATTTGTAAATACCTTGTTTTTCTTAATCCTCATTCTCTTATGGTTAATATCATCAAGAACTTAAACAACTTTTAGTTAACAAAAAGCTTTTTTTTTTATCAACTATTACATTTACCATCGAGTCCCCTAAATAGCTTCTTTGACTTAACTCTGACCTGTCCAATAGTCTTACAGTTCTCCTCCACTTTTACAAGCACTTCTGGCTCCATCATATTTGAACCTCCATCCTCAAGTTGCACCTGAATAACAAATTATAAAAAATTTTCAAGACAAAAAAAAACTTTTAACTAACATTTGCTAATCGATTTTCCTCAATTTTTACTATAACTTCAGGTTCCATTATACATTCCTTCCTCTTGTTTCTAGTATGTTTCTCCTAAAATCAACTAATGGTAAATTGAAATATTTACAGGTTATATAAAGGATTTGGTAAGAAGATGATGTTACCTTACCTTTGCATCCATTGCATTTTGGGATCATCACTATAGCTTACTGCATTTTGCATAGAGGAGTCAATAATCTTCAGTAAAAAGGAAAATTAAATATAAACAATGGACATGCAAATAAACAATAACAGATTATACAAATACCAAACATAATTCTGTTTGTCAAAGTCAGATGTCGCGAATTGGTTTGACCACAATTTGAATTTTAGACTTGATTTAGATAACACATGAAAACTATAAGATATTTAAAGTTCATATACTATTGACTTTCCCCCCTCGATTTACTGAAGGAAACTCATTACCGGAAGAAGAAGATATCATATTGATCTATAAAGTAAGAAAGATCTTTAAAGATTGTTATAAAGAATTTAATAGAAATGACGTTCAAATCTAAGTCAAATTTCTATGCTAAAGTTAATTTAACTAACTAATTTCATAATAATTAATAATAGTTAAAAACCAATATAATTTTATGGAAATACATTTTCAAATATATAAAGTAAATAACTTCCAAATCTAAAACTAACTTATTTAATCGAAAATTTTAAATTCGCAGATTTTTCAATGCAAATATATTACCTGGATATAAAAAAAATAGTTTAAATTAATGAGAGAAAATTTGAATTAAATTTTTACCTAAAATTAGTTTTAGTTAAAAATTAACACAAAACAATATATAATTACTATTAAACAACATATAATATTGATTGGGAACATGATACCTCCTCGGTTTTTTACTTTCCTGCCAATTAAGAAATAATATTTGTCTACCAGGTTTGCATGAAAGGATTTTCTGAATTTGTTCTAAGCTAAAT